AGTATTTGCTCCAGCATATAAAACCTGAATATATTTCTTCAGTCCCATTTTTCTTGAGTACAGAAATACAAAAAGGGGAAGACTCTCTATCTGTATTTGGAAGAGTTTGGTTTGCAACCAGGCAGTATCCTATAAATATTTTTTCTCTCTGTGCACCTTATTCAGTACATGTTTCAATCTACTAGAGTTAAGATAGCAAAAAACCTGACTGAATAAATACAGTGGATGAAGCTCTCTCCAACCAGTTCTGTAAAAACAGTCTAATTGCTCAAAGACAGCTATACAGTTCTTCCTGGTATCATGTCATTCATGGAAAAACATCCTTAAGTTGGGAATACGTAATGAAATTCATCTGCAGTGCAGTACTTTATACTCACTGTAGGAAAGTACTATAAAATCCCTCTGTGGGACATAATATGTTTTGCAGTTTTGCATGGGCTCTGAGGCTTCACTTTGGAAACCCCTGCTTTAGAGCATTTAAACAATTGGCATAATAAGAATTACTGACTCAGGATGTGATCACTGTAGTTCCCAGTAATCAGCCTGGTAAGCTTCCAAGACATTAACAGTTCTCTTCTGGATTTTGTTTATTCATTTCAGTTGGGTTTATGCTGCCTATTCTGTATGTCAGATATTCTGCCTCCCTAAAAATATCCACTGGCTGTTACTTTTCCTGCATACCCTGTGATTTTGATGAGCAACGAGAATGCTATTCTCCTTTGGAACAGTAACTGGAAAACACACTTTTCCACTTCTAACTTTTAACCCTAGTGTGAGGTCCCACAGAAAGCTATCTTTAAATAATAAAATGTTTTTAGTGCACAGAGGGGTAACACATTCCTTCAGGGACTTGTGAGAGGTTTGCAAAGGAACAAAGGCTGTAGTATATGAAGTTTTATTTATGTTGGTGTAGGACAGGTGCCCTTGCTGCAGAAACCCGTTTCATACTAGGGGTCTGTGATAAGAGGGGAATGACTAATCCAGGACAGTAATATAATCTTTGATCTTGAGGCAGTCCTAGTAGGTCAGACTTCAGAAATGGCAGGGGGGGCATTACAGAAACTCATGCACCTGTCCTACAAATACACTAGGGACTTTGGTATCCAGCTCAATCAAATTTGGTATCAATAGGGAACATTAAAATTGCACTCTAAACTGAAAATACAACGTCTTCGTACATTTATTTAACAGTTGTTTTGCCAGCACACACCTAAAATGAACCACGGAAATAATCTACAGAGGAATAATAAGCACCTGAGGAATGGTTAGGGAGCACCCTAAGAGTGCACACCACCTGGACAACAAGCTATTTGGCACCAATTTGCAGCTCCATTGGTTGACAAGCCTTTCATACAGAAGACAGAATTCTTGCAGGGGTAAAAATTAAAGAACAAATGTACTCTCTGATTGTTAAAAATGCAGTGTACATTTATCAGTGTTCAGTACAGTAGTTGGAATCTTCATTAAAATTTGAAAATGGAATAAATGAAAATGAGTAAAAGCAGTTAGAACACTTATGTTTTAAATCTTTCAGCTCCCCTATGTTTCCCAGAATTTATTTGTCAGCAAATTCAAGTCAGATGCTCAAACTGTAAATTGTGGTAGCTCAGTTATGACAACTTGCATCACTGAGTGTTCACTGCCTAGGTTTTGAAGTGTAGATCTTACTCTGAAAGTGACTCTAAAAACTAACTTGTCGAGTCCCATGTTTGTTTTCCATAGATCAATAGTTTCCCTAGCCTGTTCTGTTCAGCAGAGCACCAAGGGGGTAATCTACAGGGAGCAGACTTTCTGCCCAGTGTAAACTTGAGATTCCATGTATTGGAAGCTGCTTATTACAAAGAAAGCTATTTGCTCACTTTCTTCTTCGTTGCTATTTTCGTGGAAACATCACTCCTTCTGCTTAAAGGTAAAGATGCTCTTTTGTATCTTCATGGCCTTTGCTCAATTTGTGGTGAAAGTCTTCATGGAAATTCAGCTACTTGATTTGTCCAGATGGATATAAAAAAATAGATTAAAAAGCAGTCACCAGCATGCAATCGAAGAGCCAAAAGGCATTTCTGCTATGCAATGCTTTGTTTTCATTTTTTTCGTTGTTGTTGTTGGTTTTGTTTGTTCGTTTGTTTTTTCCAATAAATGAGCCCATCTATGGGTACATAAAGAGAAATCCTCCTCTTGCATCTCAGCATGGCACTAACACAACAGTCCTTGCAATCCTTCAGGCATGAAGCTTGTCCTTTCCATAAATTCCCAAAGTACGTGGGGATCCAGTTGTGAGTGACTGTGTGGCCTTAACGCAGCCGTCCTCTGGACAGCACGCTCCACTCTCTAATCCCATTTTTCCATGGGACCTGTGTCTTACTAAACACCAGAAGGAAATGGTTCTGGAGATCAACCAGAACTGTGCAGTGAAGGTAATCTGTTTCTTACAGGAATATTAAATTATTTGTTGTATAAGTTGAAAGGTATTTAGTGAATGGAGAGAAAATACAGAGGAGGGGAGGATGCTGCAGTTAAGGAACTAAAAGTTGCTTTCAAACAAAGCCCTAGCATAATGTCAGATATGTCATTTAAGCCAGCAATCAGGCTTGTCAGCCCCTGATGTCAGAGTACTGACTAGACACACTAATGATATAATCTGAAGTTCTGAGATCTCTTAGTGGCCACTGAAATCAATGTCTTTGAATGAATAAAGTATTAGGTAACGCTGTTAAATCTCAAGAATCTTAGTTACTTCATATTGGGCATCCAAAACCTCAATGGATAGAGAACAAATCAAAGGGTTTAAAACAGGGGGTCTGAAATGTGAGACCTAAGGCAGGAATGAATTTTATTTTAAACAAAATGTGAATAAAAAACACTGAAGTTTTTCATGCTTAACCACTTTACACACTAGATGAAACAAAATATCTGTGATAAATAGGAGCATATGGTTACCTACTTATTACTGTACTGCAATGTTTGTGGCAGGGCGAAGGAAGAGTAAAACTACATAAATTCTAACTTTTTGATTATTTGACTGCCTCTTCTGCAATACTCTTTTTTATACAATATATGAAAAACCCCCAAAGTATCATCAATTTATCTGAGGGATGAAAAATGTGTATATGCACTTAACAGCTACAGTATTTTACACTATTGGATTTAATTACAAAGGAATGGCTGCAAACACACACAGATTGTAACGATGGACTAGAATGAAATTTTCTGGTTCTTACAGATGAAGCAATCTTTTTTCCCCCGAAAATAAGCATTTCTAATATAATAAACTGGAAACTGGGATGTTGCTGGACCGGATATAGAATTTCTTAGCCATTGCAGAGAAGAACAAAAATTGCCAATCCAAGTAGCAAGAAAAGTCTTTCACCGGAAGGTATATCCCTTCTGTCTGGAATTTCTCTGGCTATCTCAGGAATCCCTGCACAAACAGGAGAGTGAAATACTCCAGATCTGGAACCAGAAGTACAGGTAGGCAAAATAGAGGCCTGAGTGGTAACCTGAAGCTTTCTTGAAGCGCTTCTACTTTTCTCATGTTCTGTGCAAGTAAAGGAACTTGAGTCAGGGGTTGATTTCACAGAACTACAGGAAGCTAATTTGTCTACCACTACTTGCTTATAAAAGCAAAGGTAAAAACCTTGTTGGTGTGTGTATATATAAATATAAAGATGGTAAACCACAGTGTCATCAAAGCAGTTCCTCTCATAATCTCTTCCTTAGCAAACACTTAAGAGGAGGCAAAGCAGAAACCCTCCAGTGCAATAACAGAGAGTAAAAGCAATCCCCCAAATAAAACACCTTCACATTAAGGGTTTTCAAATCACTGGCCTATCTATAATGATGGTGGACCAAGATTTGAGACACTACTCTAGCAACCTCAGTAAAAGCAGCCATTTTCATGACTTTTATAGCTGTAACAGGCCCCCCCTGCCCATCTGTTCTTGGAATAACCACTGCAACTACTGTAATAATTCATACTTATGCCTCCTGAATAGGCTGAAGAAAGAGCAACTAAATGATGATCACATTAGCCCATGCATCCTGGCTCTAACCTGGAGTTATACAGCCTGGAGAGAGAGAGTAGCTAAGAAGAATAAAAGAAATCACTGACTGAGAAAGGTATGAAAAAGGAGGTGCTTCTCTGTACTTGGTGAATGTTTTGCATGGTATTAATTCTGATTTAGGGCAAATCATGCACTGCATGCAGAAAGCAACCTAATGGTGTCCTTTGTCAGCCTATTTTTCTACCATTTACTCTTATGCATATTCTCATACATTGTTAGGTTTTTGTAGAGGAGGCTGGAAATGCAGACAGCATGGATTTTTGGGACTGATACAGAGATCTCTGCAGTAAGTTCACTGAATTCCTTTTGTTACTTTGAAATTTGGCTTCAGTCTGAATTGGAATGCAAAGATACCTGAAATCCCTTCCAGCCTTTTATTTCCACGAATAAGCTCAAAAAAGTTCCCCAGTTTTCATAGTAATGGTAAAAGGACATAATCCTTTCTGCTAGAAATATAATGACCCTATCTAGAAATGGTGGCCAATTCTAGCATTTTGTGTTGGAGAAAGGATATTTGGAAAAGGAATTTTCACACAGGCATTTCTCTCCACTGTTCTTATCAGGAAAAAAAAAAAAGACTGAAATTTCTTTCTTAGAATTAAGTAAAATCATTTCAGTAAAGAAACTGAAAGGAAAGGCAATTGCTAGAACAGATACACTCACAGCTAGCCCAGTGATTCCTAATTTTCCCTCATGTTCTCATAATTTTTTAAAAGCTAAATAAAAAATTGTGATGCTATCTGACATGCCAACTGAAAATTAACATTATTCAGAGATGTTCTCAGCTCATTTGAAGGGTGAGAACAGGTTGACTGAAACAATGTGTTGGTTTGAAGGTAACTGAACAGGGATCTTAGTCTTTTCGAAAATGTTATTCATCAAATAGAAGAGACATGTCTCCATTCTACTAGAAGATACCAACAAAGCAGCAGCACTGACCTTGTACTATATAAGGCGTGTTCTCCTCTCTGACCAGTGAACACGTGGGACGAGGGGCAGGGGCTGGTGGCCTGTTCATGATGAAGGACCTGCAATGTTTCCTTTTCTCCTCCTCCTCCTCACCCAGTATGAAATCATACACAGATTCCTCCAGCTGCACAGCAGTGTACGGGTGTTCCTCCTCGCTGTCTTCCTCGCATGTGTCTCGGTCTTCTCTGTAGCACGCTGTGTTGAGTTCATCCCCGTGTTCTCTCTTATTCCTGTCCATCACAAAATTCCCCTCTGAAAAAGGAAGAAATTGTGTTGCATATAAAGGATAAAGAGAGGAGATTAGGACTTATCTTAAAGCTTTAAGCTTCCTAAAGTAACTCAGAGACCTAACTTCACTTCTAAACTGAAGCGCTCTGATTTTCAGAGGATTCCGATCACCTAACTCAGTAGAGAGGATGTCGCAAAGGAATAATTACAACTTCAGGGGACTCCTCATGATTTCACATCACATTATCAAACACAGATGCTTAGCTATTAGCCACAAAATAAACGGACCTATTTAAAGAAATACAGAGTGCACCAGTTGTTCCCACAAGAGTTACACAAACATGATGTTTAGTGGTGAAACCAAATAAACGTTACCAGTGGTCTTTGGTATTTTGGAAAACATTTTGTTTCTTACCTGTTGCAACAATGACTTAAGTGAAACTTATTTTAGAAAACGATAGATTTTGTCTTTCCTACATCTTCAATATCCCACTTGGTTTTGAGGGCCTTACTAAGGTGTGCTGTAGGCCAAGGTCAAAAAAGAAAAAAAATCCCCTTACAGTGTAGGTAAAATTTATGACCTCTTACAATCTGTGTCAAGACGATCCAAACACCCCCATTCCAATACCTGCACTGTCTCTCTGTACTCCTTGTATTTCATATATTTCACAGTACAACTACTCAGAACTTGCTTTCCTTTAGCTTGTGCATTTTAGAGCATTAAATAGCTGTCGATGAGTTTCTCAATACCTGGGTTTGCCTTGATTTGTCTTTAAAACCCCCACAAACTTCTAAGAGTTTAAAGATGCTACTGAGGCTGGTGTTCCCGTAAATGTTTATAACTTCCTTGTGATGATTACCCACCTTTCCTGCAAAAAGAGTAGACCTGCCTGGAATTCTTTACTGAGTCATTTTTCCCTTATGCTGTAATTTACTGCCTGTACATATATGTATCTGCTAAACTAGGCTGTGGTCACTACTGGTGTTTTCAATCCTTTGGCTGCTGTCTAAAGAGTGATCTATTTATGGGTCCAGAGGAGCTAAACAACCTTTTAAAGTGGAATACATTTGTAAATGGGATGCATCATTTATAAATGAGATGTATTAATAATAGGTAATATCAACATGTATTCTAAGATACAAAAATGTTTTAAAACAATTGGGCTTAATACATCTGCCATATTTAATATGAATAATACTTTGTTGCCATGTCACTATACAAGTTCTGCTTCTGTCTCTGTAGGACTTTTTTTTTTTTAACTCCCACAGGGGGCACTCTCAGGCCTCTGCCAAAACACAGACTTGAACAAAAGGGGACTTGCCTTTGAGGTACTTCACAGCAACTCCAAAAACAAGTGGTTGACTGAAAATATGTAGCAATGACTCATCAGAGCTCCTCTTTGAAAGCAAGCATCATCCTCATTTAGAGGAATTCTAATAATCCTATCATGTTTTATGGCTAAACACAGGAAAATTCAGAGCACGTTTTAAATGAACTCTTCACACAGGAACATTTTCAGATGAACTCTGCTTTACCAGCACAGGATTCGGCACAGGACACTTCATGCCAGGAAACTTTCTTTGCTGGTACCCACATACAGACAGCTGGTGTTTGGCAGAGACAGTTACATTACTACTTGATGGTATAGCCATGTTAGACCTATTCCAACAGAGATATTTGTATCAAACCTACACCAACAAATCCTGCTTGCCAAAACTGACTCCTCATTTATACACACATATAGCTCCAGCTGAGTATTTTGTGGGAGGCAAAACACGTTTTCAGCATTAATTTTATTCTGTCCCTCTTTCTCTTAGAATTCGTTATGGATTCCTGCATGTAGCCAGCTTTTTCTTGGTCAGTAGAACACAGGAAAACCCCTACCTATAGCAAGCTATAAGACTAGAGAGCTATTTCTGTCTAATTATGTGAACTTCAGAGTGCTTGGTGATGGTAATTTAAGACTCTAATAGGTTACACCACATTTGGAAACAGAGTTAACAGTAATTAACAGTGGAGAAACTGAGGAGCAGTTTGTGTGCACACTTACCAGTAGTGTCCACAATAAATAAGAAGGCTTTTTTTCCCCTATGCAACTTTTTAAGACTGGTATTTCAGCCTGAATTATTTTGCATACTTATTTTCTCAGTGCGAAAAATTCACGATCATTCCTTCTGAAACAGATGCAAATAGTATTTTGGGCTTCTCATCACTTTAATCAAATCCAACACAAAATTTTAGATTTTTATTCTGGGGAATATGCATTAGAAAAAAAGATAAAAAAGGTAAAGCATTTAATTAACAGCCAGAATTTCTCCCTTTCTTTTCTATCTGCAACACAATATAGCTCTTTACTTCTAACTAACTACAACATTGGTTAAAATGTAAGAAAATACTACATTACTTCTCTCTGTATGGTCACTTCCTATTAATTCCATCTGTGAAGTTCCAAGCTATATTAAATCAAGATAGTATTTAATGCTTTAAAATGGTAAATACTTAAGGCAACTTGACAAAAATACAAGCTCAATCTTCTGTTTCAAGCCTCTCTTGTAAATCCAATGCACTGTGCATTATTTGGCAGCTCTCTGAGACAAGCAGTAGTTAGGAAAACGTGAACCCAGCAGCCCACACTGATGTATTACCTGACATTTCTGGTCATGAATATGTTGATGCAGCAAAGTGCACATGCACATGCCTGCTTTGCAGCATCAGGGCCACACTGCCTCGCTACTCTGTTGGAAGTGATCACGTGTAATCTCTGCAGCAGCACCTAGCCTGCACTTGCACATGTTTTATATCTGGGCTTGTTTTCCTCCCAAGATTGTACCTTGTGATGAATTGTGCAGATCGTCCTGTCTTAGGATGCCAGGCAGATTTCGAGGAGGAGGAGGGGGTGGCCTCTTACAGAGAAAGCAATCTCTTCTGTTCTCTTTGAGATCATCCTGTATGTTGGCATACAAATCACCAGGACTGTTGTGAAAGCTGTATGAGTCTTCCTCTTCTTGATCTTCATGTTCTGTCTCCTCTCTGCTGCCTCTTACATCATCTTTCTTTTCCTCATCCACTTCAGTTTTGTGTTGGCATCTCGATCCAATTTCATATTGATCTCCCGGGTTCAGCTTGGCTTTTAATACTAAAGAATGCATTATTTCATTTAAAATTTGCCATCTGGAAACATTTCCTGTTTCAAGGATTCCCACAGAAACAACACAATGGCTAATAAAACTTTTATGAACTGATACAGTAGAAAAGCTGTCAAATACATACCATCAGTGAGCAGCTTTTTAAATATTTACCAAATGAACAGTGGAAGTTTTCATTGTACCTTGCTACTCTGATACATGCCATCTTCGTGTGTGTAATGTTAAACTCTTCTAGGGCTGCTGTCAGAATGAAATCACACACACTTTCCTTGCCTGCATAATTTGTATTACTTGATTTTCAATGCTACACAGTGCAACACTTAACAAAATAAAGCCACAGCTCACATATCTGTGGTACTTGTTTTTATATAATGGGATTAGAGTGCTTTCTCCTTAAAATGAAATAAACATTGCCCATGGGAGAAATGACTGTAGACCTGGGGAAACAGAGTTCTTCTGCCCAGGTGGCCAAGAAGGCCAGTGGCATCCTGGCCTGTATCAGGAATAGCGTGCACAGCAGGACATGGGAAATAATTCTACACCTGTTCATCACTGGTGAGGTTGCACCTCGAGTACTGTGCCCAGTTCTAGACCCCTCAGTTCAGGAAGGATGTTGTGGTCCTGAAGCAGGTCCAAAGAAGAGCAGCAAGGCTGGTGAAGGGACTGGAGCACAAGCCCTGTGAAGAGAGGCTGAGGGACCTGGGGTTGTTTAGCCTGGAGGAGAGAAGGCTCAGGAGAGCCCTCATCACTCTCTACAACTACCTGAAAGGAGGTTGTAGAAAGGCAGGGATCAGCCTCTTCTTGCAGGCAACCAGCAACAGGCCAAGAGGATACAGTCTCAAGATGCACCAGGAAGGTTTAGGTTGGACATTAAGAAGTTCTGCACAGAGTGACTGGGCATTGGAATGGGCTCCCCAGGGAGGTGGTGGAGTCACCATCCCTAGAGTGTTTAAGAAAGGACCATGACACTTAGTGTCATGGTCTAGTTGACAAGGTGGTGTTGGATCATAGGTTGGACTCAACGATCTCAGAGGTCTTTTACAACCTAATTGGTTTCATGGTTCTGTGACTCTGCCTTTAGTAGCCCATGGACCACAGAACAAGAATACAGTGGAGGGATGTGAAAGTGTACATTTTAAGTGCTATGTACATCATTAAAATTTTAGTAGTCAAGATCAGTAACATAAGAGAGTAACTACACAAGTCCATCAGCAGACTTTACCGAACCCTTGAGGTAGGTTTTCATTCTGTGTTATCCTTTGGTGATGCCTGCCTTTCACCATTGATTCAAATGTGAGGTCAGGGCATTTAGCTGGCTGATGTGGCCAGCTGTTACAATTTGTGTTCTTCTTCCATGTGTACCCCCTGCAGTGTTCACATATACAGTGTGACAGAGACACTGAAAATTTTCCAGAGCTAACCTGTTTTTTTCCCAGTGTCTATCATCTACCCATATGTGCTAAAGCAACCAGCTTAAATTTAGCCAATCCTTTTCATATGTATGAGACACTTAAAAAGATAAAATTGCCAACAAGATAGAAAGAGAATAAAATCTAGCTTTATAGATCCACGATACTCTTAAGATATTTGCAAAATATATGCCATCAATAAATGCAAATAAGGAACTTTGTTTGCAGTTTTCAAGGGGAACGCATATGACCACACAGATCATCAACAAGCTTGTCATCGATCTATGCTTAGAAGTATGAACATCAACCTGCAAAATGTCAACTATCTGTGCCTCCGTACAGGACTTGACTGCACCTGTAGGCAGTGCCTTCCCTTATCTGAAGGCTGTTCTCTGAGAACTTGGAGAATTCAGCTCTTTTCTAGGTTCAGAGTAGGGATGATAAATTTCCAGGATTTACAAGGAGGTCTGGTTGCACTGAGGTCTCTCTTGCTGAGTGATAACTTTATTATCATAGCTGAGTCCCTCAACTGCCTTCCCGTTCTCCTAGGGCATCTGCCTTCCCTGGAAGTTGCAGTAGCATGTGCAAGTTGAAAGTGTTAGAATAACTTGCCCTCTCTGTCCATAACATCAAACACTTAATACAGCACATACCAATACCAATAAAACTATCTAAAACATGACTTACCCATGGCTGGTTGAGTTTCCAAGCCTAACATGAGCTCATAAGTGTTATTGTCTTCTACTTCCTCCCTGCAATTGGTGAAATTATTTGCTGCGTTAACCTACAAAGAAAAACGAAGAAGAATATTTGTTTTAGTGATATCGTCTCCTACCTTCACACTTTGCTATTGATATAATATTCAACATTCTACTAGGAGGAAAGTGGAGACAGAAACATCACCATTTGCAACTATGTAATGATACACATATTTTGGCAAAAGGAACACACGTATCTGAATACATGTAAAGGACACAAGGTTCCGCCAAGAAGTGACACCAAGTTTGCACAGCAAGAATTGAAGCTAATTCATCTTTACCTAGAAGTGCACTGGGCTGTCCCAAGTCTGCTCCCAGCTGTGAAGCACTCATAGATAATGAGAAAGATCAGTTACAGAAAAACACAAAGATCATAGGACATGACTGAATAGCTCAAGGGTGCACACAGTGCAAGAAATCTCTAGAGAGCTCATTACAAACAGTTCCTGTCTCCCAGTGGTTGGTACCAAAAGCCGTGTCTGCACTGAAAAACCAGAAATGGGACTGCAAAGCATGTTAGCAGTTCTACCTTAGCGACCAAATGTGGCAAAGTGGCTTTTCGTTCCTCTAGAAAGTTGTTACGTTTACACAGCGCTATTCAAAATTAGCCTCAGGAGGGTCAGAACAATCAGTTTTCTAAAACATAATCAATGTATTTCCTCAAGTAGAAGAGATACAAACCTCTGCTCACCCACAGCAGCTAAAAGCAAACCTGTAATGCAACTACAGACAGTTCTGTTGTCTTAAAATATAGAACACACATTTGTTAACTACTGATTTTCAGAAACAACTGGAATTTCAAAAAGTGATCATTTCTTAAAAGAAACCCAACAGGACCTTGATTCCCATGTAAATGGGATATGAAACTATCCCTCGCAGACACAATAATTATTCAGGAATTTTGAAGCACAAAACTCTGGGGGTTTGAATACACCAACCCCAAAGTAGGCAGGGAAACAGCATGGTCCACGTATCATCCAGACTGCATGATTAATTACCAGCAGAATTGTGGACTGTGGACTTCACAGTCAAGAGGAAGAACTGATACGTAGTTACACCATTCTGCATAGCGCAGGAACTGATTCTCAGGAGCTTGTGCCAGACTCTCAAGAAGTTTGTTCCCAGTATCCTGCTGTCTCCTGGCACCCGCAACCACCGTTCTCAGGGACAGAGCTCTTGCTGCATGAAAGAGGAAAAAATTTTGAGAAATAGAGGGTTTTTTCTGAGGAACTGAGAATGCCTTCTTTCCAGCAGCTCTTGCACACAGCCACCTCATGAATATCAGTCTGGAGACACTGCAGCCATCACACTGCACAACAGATGCCTCCCTGGCCTGCTTTGCTGTTCTAAGGATACACCTGGATCTCTACACAGCTATGCTTGCCTCCAACAATAAACTATTAATCTCTGCCTTCTGTGCCCATACAATGTGTGCATCAGTGAGAGAATCCTGTTTTTCTTGAACTTCCCTATCATTTCTCTGCTTCCTCCATACTCTGCAGAAACAGGATACTTCTTAAAAGCCCCAGAGTTAGAGCTTTTCAGAATACTTATTTTCAAAAGATTTAGGCCTGCATGTGCTAAATGTAAGTGTATGTTGTGGCCTAATAAATAAATATGTTTCCTGTGAAGAGAGGATGTGCGTAGAAGAAATCAAGCAAGGAGAGCTCTAGATGTATTAAGCTCTCCTGCTATGACACTGGAGTAACACACCAGGGAAAAATCTTTCAAAGTCTCCACTTTTATCTTTGCAAACATGAAGTACTCATGGATATACAGCTGGTAGAATGAAGTCAAAAGGGTAAGTGGAAGAAACAAATGGCATTTGCTGATTTTCTTCAACATAGATATTTTTCAGCTGAAGGAAACCTGGTGACTCACAGAAAAACAAGAGAATAGATTTAATTAATATGTATTTTTGAAACATCAATGTTTCAAAAGACTGAAGGTCAGCCACCCTGGTAGCTTATAATGGCTCTACTGATAATGCTGAATCTTCAGGAATTCATGATGCAATTCAGAAGTTTAGCCCCTGACTACACTTTCTAAAAGTCTCCTGGACCTGTGAGACACAGAAAAGCTGAACAGATGGAAAGAGTCTTTAACTAAATACGGTGACACTGGAAAAAAATTCTGTGTAATGCAAATTAATGACAGAAGTCTCCTCTGACATTGGGTATGATGACACCATGCATCTGAAAACAGTGCAGTGTCTCCAAAGGCAGTCCTTATTTAAAAATGCAAACCAATATAGCTAAATCAGAACGGTGTCACGGCTCAGCTTGCAAAGTTTGCTGTGATGCCCTAAATGAATGCCCATTAGTTTTAGGTCTTTTATAGAGGTTGGGTCATGTAACTTGAATGTAACAGCACAGTTAGCATGATATTTCTACTTTTAGGGTGTTGGGTACAACTCGTGCACAGACATGAACTTCAAGTCATTTGAGCCTAATTTCGGGCTGAAAATGGGTCTTTGATTTATATTGAGTTTTCTTATGGATGTCATGTCACCTGTCAAAGGAAGAACCAGTTTCATTGGGAACCAGTATTATAATAAAAAAGGTATAAAAAAGTTGTTGCTGTCAGCACAGAACTGCTCCCAACAGTCTACGGGAAAGGGCACTGAGTGTTTGAAACAAGTTTGTGAGTTGGGAAAATAATTTCCTTACCTCAGGATGCAACAAGAATGTTGGGATGAATTGAAAGTCCTCTGAGAGACTGATGATGTTGCGAGTCCTGAGATTAAATACCATCTCTCAACATCAAAAAGTAGATACTTAATTTTCTTTCAGTTATGTATTTTTTAACTTCTTGACTAACTGTCCTTCAAAAAGGTCAAATTTTTGAAAAGCTTCAAAGCTGTCCCTCATAAGAGGGACAAAGTCTGAATTGATTTATCTCAGTTATTTACTCAGGAATTCATTATCAAAATTATTATTACCCATCTTGTCAGCATTTCTTACAATGCTCTTCTGAAAAGCCATCTTTTTAAGGCAAGTTTTCAAAAGGCTTTCTCCTTGTTATACAAAGGATTTTCCCATCCCTCAAAGTATTTCCCTCCAATGACTCTGTACTGAGAAAGAATCATCTGCTCTGGCAAGGGCCCACACCACTGAAATTGGGTGTGTTGTACCTTCTTGTTTAGTGACGAGTGAAACTAAAGAATTCAGAGGAATTCAATCCACCAGTGATACTTAGATATGGCAAGAGTTAGGTATGGCAAGAGTGAGAAGCACCTGGACATTGTTTTTTAGTTTATAAACAGGTACTTACAGATAAATATATCAGTCACAGCTCACATTAATCCTTATGGGTAAGATATAAATGGATATATCTAAAAAGATATCTGTACCTTAAATTCCTAGAAACAAAATAAGACAGAACTCCCAACGGTACACTGCTCTACAGTTTTCAAAAATCTGATCTTCATGCTTAAATTTGGCCTGGGATAATGCTTAGAGTAATACTACATTAATTCATATGATTCTTATGCACTTTATTCCATTGTTTTCCAGTTGTCCAATTATTAGTTGTCCTTTTCTTTCATTAAATCGGCACTTAATAAGTTGAAATTCCACTGTATATTTACCTTTTTCACCCTGAATAATTACATGCCTTATGAGTTTAAATTCAGACTTACATCTCTGTTTCATCTTATTGTACTGGTATTTCTAAAAAAAAAATTTAAATGTACGTAAGAAAGCCTTTTATGTCTCTGTTGTACTTTGGAAACTCATCCTGTCTCCTACATCCTTAGTTTTTCTGTATTGCAGTAATTAGGAAAATTGATGGAGAAAGTCCTTATCACTGTTTGTAAAATTCTCATTGAACCCTTTGACAAGGCACTCTCTTTAGTCAGGGTTGAATTAAAAAGCAATTACTGGAAGTTAGCTCCCTGACATGATACAGGACAATGAACACAAGTGCACTGGAAGGTTTAAATTTTGTTTAGAGTAAAAAAGAGGTACTTAAACATCAAATGTACCATTAAAATGCTGATATGGACTTGACAGTTCTGTGCCTCTGTCTTGACAAATCTGTCATCCCATCTGTTGATTATCCTCTCGTTTCTTGCAGACTTGGTCAAGTCACAGCTCTGTGCTGTTCAGTTTTCAGTGCCACTGTACCTAATAGCTCACATGCTGCCTTGGCAAACTCCTGAAAACTGAACAAGATACAGAACCACTTAAAATGCTAAATGAAATATATATTCTGTGAGGTTCTGTAGAGAATCTTTTCATTATACACTAAAACTTGGACTATATTCTTCCCTTCATGTAACTGAGGCTCTACTAGGATATACTTTGCACGTCTTTCCCCAGATATCCTCTGCTTCAGGAGGAAATGATGCTTCTTTATCCTGTGTAAAAAACGTCTGAAGAACATCATATGTTCCTTCCTCAAGATTTTGTCTCCTGAAAGTTAGTACATTACTGCCCAAGGTAGGCAATGCCCTTCTACTTTTCCATACAAATTACCTTTACTGTAGCCAATATTTCAAGTAGGAGAGTACAAAAAAGGCAGCTCCCTGCAGTGAGTCTCACAAAGCCCATAATTTATAAGATTACTGCCAGCCACATCTAGATTTTAATTCCAATCTTAATTCAATTTTCACACTTCAGTCATTCCATCTGCCTAACAGTTTTCTTCCCCAAACCTTTTTCTGGGAGATGCAAGACTTCAAACACTAGATTAAACTGAAGGTGCTGCCTTTAATTTGTTTAGGACAAAGACAATTTGATCTTCTTCTAGACTCCAGGGCATTTCCAGCTGCCTGTCGGAGAGCATTCAGGCTTGCTATTAGACATCTCAAAAATACTATACAGTCACTCTAAGGTCTGTTCTTTCAGGGTTGAGACAGATCTGGTTGTGTGATTTGTTTATAACACATCACCACAACGTTCCTTCTTACTGCCCTCCCAACATTCAAAGTTCGCAGTTCTTCCAAGAGGTGCATTGCTTGTTCATCTGTCTCCCACTATTCTGTAGCTCAGCATTTCATATCAGAGGACAGGCATGGCTGTCC